TGCTCGCTCAAACACGCATGGAAACCCAAGAGGCGCCTAAGCTCTAAACCCTTACACTCCCCCAAACTAACATGGAAACCCATATAGCCCCATTTTAGAGGGACTGTAGTCTTTATAGGGCCCCTTTTTGGGTTTCCATAAATTGTTTCCAGGAGTGTATGTGTGCTATACTGGAGTTTCTATGCATCATGAGTTAGCCCTGCGCATGCCGTATCACGAATCAGTAGATCTCATTCATTGTTCAATACTATAGTAGTTTCCATTTTATTTTCCATTATCCCAATATAACCCCGATGTAACCCCTATAACATGGTAGTTTCCATTTTCTTTTCCATGATCCCGACAGAATCCCCTATATACTACCTACAACAGCATCTCCCGGCATCATCTACCCAAACTCTGTATCTGGGACAGGTCGGGCTTGACAGGTTGTTGTTGATGTTAGGGATATTATCCCACAAACAATTACGGGGTTTCAGGTTTGATTTTAGGGTTCTATAGGGTTATATAGGAGTTATATTGGGACAATGGAAACTATACTTGTTGGATGGACAAGAAAATGGGGGGGGAAAAAAAGAGGACAAACAAGGAAGAAGCACAGGCAGACCTAGGAGGGTTCTGTTTCGTTGTTGAGCATCCCCAACTCATGTCCTGTCAGATCCCCATGTCCCGGATTTGACAACAAGTCATCGAGCGGACCTCCTTTAGCCCAACGCTCCTTGCGCGGCCCCATTACGTTGCACATCTCGCTACTGAAAGTGCCTTCCACCCCACACTTGAAAGCAGACTTGATGAAGCAATGACGAAGCTTGCGAGAGTAGGCGCTAGCCAATTCATAGCAGTATCTATCGCAACGTAACGATCTATACATATAAATATCTTGCGCATCAGCAGCTGGCTTTATGATTCAATTAAGCTCTCAGCTTCATCCCTTTGACCCCTGCTAAAGCCTCAAGCCCAGAATCCAAAGCGCCCGCTGAGGACCTGATTGAGCGGTTGAAGTTCTTTCAGGCCGTCCTTTTTGGAGGGAACCCTTGGGAATTTTTGCCCCAAGTTGGAAGAGGATTTTATAGCATCAAGAGAACTACTTCTGGGATCCACTCCTCCATGTCCTGCTAACCTCCAGTAAGTTAGAATGGTTGAGGAGCTGCAAAGCCTGACCTAGGCCCTGATATATCCCAGATCCAATGCTTTCTCCAATTGTTAGTGCTCCTTTCTTTTCCTCGCTGTTTTGGGTTTGCTCTGCAAAGCCCTCCCTCCAATAAACCCTATCCTAGTCGCTCAAGGGTCTCAAGACTCACAGGCCCTACCATCTCACCAACCAGCGCCCCTCCAAACCTCGTTTAAACTGAGGAATCAAGTCTCAAAGGCCAAAAACGTTTTAGCAGGCCCCGTAATGATACAAAGGGGCCCATTGCCTCAGCTGGCTTGCGCAGTCGTGGATCGACAATGGGATTCCGGTGACCTTCTGGTTGAGCGGCATCTACTTCACGCAGGCCTGATGCAAGGGATTAGAGTTAAGGGCTGATGTGGAATCTCAAAACAGTCCTTGTGCCAGAACTGATGCAAAACGTTGTCCATCTTCTGTCTTCATCATTCCCGGTGTGCAGCCGACCGGACGATGCGGAAGGCGTCCCCCCAGAAAGCCCCCGACCCAATTCGAAAGTAGGATTCTTGCCATGATCCTTGCGAGACTCTTCAATGGAGTCATAATGTGTTCCCTGGATCTAGCACCAATGAACAGTGTCTTAAACAGCTGGTGTTGACTACATGCGCGAGAAGAGGTCAACAATGCAGTTTCACCCTCAAGGTCCAAGTGCCCAATACTCGACTACTTGTGATTTGGATCATAGTAATTGTAGTATAGCTTTGGGTGGAAATCTATGAATATTGTGTACTCGGACCCATGTCGTCAGCAAGCACAACAGTAAGAACTCGGCCTCCCTAAACCCCAAACCATAAATCCAAAACCCAACCTAGACCCCAAACCCTACATAAAACTATAAAAGCCTAAACCTGAAACCCTAAACCCTACCTGGCCCCTTAACCCATGTTGAGACCAACGGGCCGCAGGCCTTTACCACGGGTGCCGCGCAGAATTTCGCTCGGAGGTGGCTTCAGGATGTAGAGCTCATATCAGCTATAGTCTAAACTCCTTAAAGGGGGGTTATATAAGGTTTAGGATTTAGGGTTTAGGGTTTAGGATTTTGGGTTTAGGGTTTAGGGTTTAGGGTCTAAACTCCTTACAGGGGCGTTCATATAGGGATTATATAGGGAACTACTATAGGGGTTATTAAGGGGGATACTAGGAGTTTAGACTATAGCTCATATCATTATACTGTTATACTATTACCCTACGGGTTCGAGTACGGTGTTAGGTACCCTAAAGCCTTATTGGTTGGGCACTTGGACCCTTAGGGTTGATCAGGGTGAGAATACCGATAGTAAGACTCATACTAAGAAATAGAAGGCAGATTTGAAAAAAGACGGTCTATCTCGACCGAGCGTACCTTTCCGAGTCCCTATGATTAGGATTACAGTATTTTCAGGTTCCTATTGAGGCCCCCTTACTTATGGAACCCCCTCATATCCGGAAAATGCCTGCTGACCAGTTGGGGCTCGCTGCTGCTCCAAGTTCATCCGGGGGTTGCTAAATCACGAAATGAGCTGAAGCATTGACTGGGTTGCCGTAAAGGAACTAAAGTTACCATAATGGGCATATGTATATATGTATATATCTACCTGTATATGTATATATATATATATTGGCCAATATAGTTTCCGCAATGTAGTGACTCACGCTAAGTTCCTCAACCGCAACACATACAAGCAATGTAGTCCTGCTATCTGGGCTACTCTCACCATTCCTTCTGTGTTCGGCCAGTACCTTTTATGTTTGAGAATGCAGTAAAAAGACAATGCGCCGAAGAGTTGCTGATGCGGCTTGGCCGTGTTGTTGGGTCGCTCTCGCAGCTTCCGCGAACCCCATAATTCACACCCTAAACTCTGGCTTCGGGGTTCAGTGTGTTACCATGACTGACGCCGGGAAGCATCTGCAGTTCATGGGTGGCTCCGTGGACGAGGGTTCGTGGTTTTGTTGGTTCCTGTTCTTCGTGAAGGTGTGTATTTCGGAAACTAGGACATGCATGCTATGGATTCCAATTCTATGGAGCATATCGAACTTCTGGGACAGCAGCCCGCTCCAGGTACACCATTCCCATCGACACTTTGGTCTTCGATTACGAGATGCCCCAGGCAATTGCTCTTGTGTAGAAGGGCCTGCTTGCACCCTTTCGTTGGCCGGTATACGCTTCTGAATGTTTTTTTGCCAGGGACATCATACCCTACACCATCATCATCCCTGATCTTTTCACTCATCATGTTGCTGCCCCCTATTGTATGGAGATTCTCGGTTGTGTCTCTCGCAGGTACTGGTCAGAGTTGGACCCAAAGTAGTAGTTACCAGTGCTGAAGTTACTGGAGCTACTTGCATTACACTAGCCTAGCATGTGTTGATGCGTACTGTTTCAGCTTTCCTGATCCATGGCGCTGGCAGAATGAATTTTTGGGAGCCTGAACCCCAAAAGAAAACTTGCCTCGCTACGCCATGTTGATTGAAGCCCTGGCCCCTGCTGATGTGCGGAGGACCAGCACCCTGTGGCAAAGCCGGACAATGGCGCCGCCGCCTAAGCCGTGATTTCACTGGGCCATGCAGAAGGTTATGGGCTTGGGGTTTGGGGCTAAGAGTTCAGGGAAACACGGTAGTTTCCACAAATAAGGAACCCCAATAATAATAGGGCCTCCCTATAATGTAGTACCCTAAGCCCTAAACGCTAAAAACCCTTCTAGAAGTCTTGATGACGTTCGGCTGGCAGTTGTTCTGCTTGCTTCTACCACTCTGAACCCTAACCCCCAAACCTCCTTAACCTCCTTAACTCTAAGCCGCGGATCTCCTAATCCCCAAACCCCAAACCTCCTACACCCTAAGTCCTCAACCCTAAACCTCCTAAACCCGAAACCCCAGACCTTCCAAACCCGAAACAAGGTCCCAGCAGTCTGAAGACCACTCCAAGTCCCTAGATCCTCCAGTCCCCAAGGCCCTACACCCTGGATAACCCCTATGTAAGGCATAAAACCCTCGTGCTTTATAGGCCCCTTTACGGGGGTTTCCCAAAATTAAGGGGTACCTTCTTGGGGGTACCTAGAATTAGGACTATAGTATCTTGGGGTCTTTATTGAGGTCCCTATACGTCGCCCACAGAACCCCTAACCCAGGTCTACTGCTACGGCCTCTTCCTCGAAGGCTGCAAATGGGACTGGTCAGAGCAGGGAGCCTAGAAAATAGCTTTGAGAATGAATCATGGGGTTCCCCTACTAGCCCCTCGCGACAATATCCCCCGTCCCCCAGGTTTCCCCCTTAATGTGGATCGTTTAAGGGAAATTGAGGCTAATTTAGGGGAATTCAAGCAGGATGCCTTGGTTGTTGCTGCCTGTTAGTAGAGAATGAAGGATAGGACAACAACATGGACAACTATTGTACTATTGGGAGTGTATGCTGGCTATTACAGGGATCCAATCCTCCATTCACTATCAATAGCCAGCAAGCAGGAGGTTGTAGTTTTCATCAACAGAAGGAGAAGGCAGGCGTGTTTCCTTGTACTCATTCTGGCGGATCCTTCCAAAACCAACATTTGAAAATTCACCACTGGGCTTTTTTTTGGTATAGTTAAGCAGGAAGGGGCGCCAACATTGTTATGAAATACAATGCCAGTGGCCCTCAAGCACAAAGAACCATGTGCTCATGGCAGCAAGCCACTCTTGCCGAGGTGGCAGCTGGAAGAGAGTGACAACAAAGTTCTTTATGTGCCCTGGATTGCAATGCAGCGGCTTGAGCCTATTTTCCCTTGATTCTGATCTTCATTGTTATTTAGTTGGCTTCTATGTGGTGGAATGTCGTATGAACGCATCGGAACATAGTGGAAGGGTCCATTCCTCTGTATGAAAGATTTGTGCGGGGCTTTCCGTTCCAAAGGTTCCCTTTGTTGTTTTGCGCATTTGGGTTTGGGAGAAAGGTTTGCTTGCGGACATGCAACTTTGGTTTCAAACTCTGTTCCAGACAGCTTTCGCTCAGCAACGCGCAACGCTAATGCGGAGTCATCCCTAGGTCTATATGGGGGTTTCCCAAAATTAGGGGTACCATTTTGGGGGTCCTTATAATAAGGATTATAGTATTTTGGGGTCTATATTGGGGTCCCTCTATTTAGGGAATCTACCATATTGTATCTTTGCGCGGGGACCTTCATACAATGCTGCTCTATTCATATTGGACCTTGTTTTCAACTGGTATACATGCACGAAGCTTGACATGAAACAAACCCTTGTTGGGAGGCCTTCATATTGCTGGTTGAAAGGCTCATGCCTGATGTCACTGCCACTCTTGTTCAAGAATCCCAGCATCTTTGCAAAGGGTTCGTGTAGGTATGTAGGCATGTAGTATATACTTGGGGCCCAAGGGGGCTCCCACATAATTACTTCAGGGCCCAGACATATCTGCACGGACCCTTTGCGCGTTACGTACTTAGCCAGATTGACTCTGCTGCTAGAAGCCTGTCACTGCGAAATCTTCAAAATTTCACAAAGCCCTTCACAACGAAATCTCTGAAACTCTGGTGTTCCTCCAGCCTACGCCTGGATGAAAGCATGGATCAACAAGGGTTTTTAGGAGGGCACACATTTTAAGTATATAAATCTGGCGATGAAAGGCTCATATTGAGAAGCCCTCACATTGTACAGTCATATACTGGAAATTCAAGCTTTGCATGAGCCAGCGACTGTCAGGATTTGAGGGGGACCTACAGTGATATGTCGGGATTCTAGTGGGGCGTATTAGGGAACATATCGCAACTTTAGTCCGCAGCCCAATGTGGTGAAACGTTGTGCAGCCGCAGGTGCCAGTGCCACTGCTGTGGATCCTTCCGTGCAAGAAGGCCTCCTGGACGCTAAGCCATCATCCCTTAACCCTTAACCATTAACCCTAAACTCTTAGCCTTGAACCTAAGCCGCAAAAGGTAGTATCCACAGCAAGAATATCCCTCCTCTTAAGGGCAGGGACCTTTGGAGATGCTCTTATCCCAGACCCTCGAGCCACCTTCAATTCAGGCTCACGTACCCACTGTCGGGACCCTAGAAGCCTCATCAAGGCTACTGGGATGGGCTTGGTAATTTTTAACGGGTATGCAGTGTAGACAGAATCAAGTCAGAGTGTTGGCCCGGGCGGGTCCCGCAAAATAGATTTCACTTTTTTACCGGCTCGGCCTGTGAATCCCCACCAATTCCTTGAAAGTCTTGGCATTGAAGTGGGGCTTCCTTCGTAGGTTAGCAATAGGGATACCTGGGGTCATTATATGGCCGACAGGGCTCAGAAGTATACTTGCTAAGTACTACAGGCTTGAAATGGGGCAGAACGGGTTTAAGCTTGTGCGCTAGACGACCGGATGTTAACCTGAACCCCTCAAGTCTAGACCTGCTTGTGAGTATTGACGTAGATTTCGCGGCTGCCGGCCCCCAGACGCATCCAACCCCAATTTCTGCTAAGGGTAGCCCTAGACGTCTTGAATTAGGTGAGGAAGGGTGACTGTAAGAATGGGCTCACCGCAATCATAACCCTCCTTCCCACATGCCCTTCCTTGATGTTACGTTTCACTTGGAGGCGGATCTGCGAACATTCCCATGGTACGACTGCCCTCTCTACAAGGCTTGGCCAGTGCGACTTTCCGAGAATTTAGGGCTCACTCTTTTGGTTCCGGAAGCAATCTCCATATGTGACTAACACCAACAAAACCTCGTCTCTGAAAAACTCACGGGCGCGTTGACTGGTCTTGGGTCGTTGTCAAAGTTCAGAGTGTGGGTTCAAAGCTTGCAAGGGCTGTCACCCTAAGCCCTGAGCTATTCACACTTTGCAATTCCCATGCCTCCAATGCCCCAAAAAAGACTGACTTGCCGTGCCAAGCTTTCGGGCGCTTGGTTCCTTGGGTGCCCTCTGGTTAGAAGCAGCGAAGGAATGGCCAAGAAATTGGAAACGCTGGAACCCTAAGGCTCCAAGTATTTGATATTCAGATACTGCCCCCAAACCTATACTACAGTAACGCCTAAACCCACATCCCAATCATCCAATTATTTTTGTACTTGGGCCATGAGGAAACTTTTGACCTTGTCATAGGCGCCCTCAAAACGGAGCACGCAGAGTGTAATTTGGGATTCCCAGTAATGCAGGGGCCTTGGATAGTCCTATCACCAGTATTCTGGTCTCAGATTCCTCCCAGAATCCGTACTATCATATATAATTACCCTATATAGTAGTATAGGGCTTATATTGGGGTTATATAGGGATAATGGACAAGAGAATGGAAACTCTGGTGATGATATTGGCAGCTACTTTGCTCTCTACATTGCAGTAGGCTAGCAGCGGCGCAAGCTTTAAGATCTCAGATGATCTTAAGAGCCCTGTAAGAAAATGGGGTACGGGCAAGGACATTCCGGAGAAAAGAGACTTCCCCAAATTGGGTTTCTTTCGTACGTACTCCCGAGAGGCCACACTTGTAGAGCCTGGAATATCCCTTAAACCCGAAAATGCCTCAACAGTTTTGCAGGTTCCCCAGATCCTCAGATGGCTCCGCTGAGCAGGTGTCCACACGGAAGGGAGTTCTGTCAACCACGGGCCACAGCACCAACTTTGCCCAGACCCTAGCTGGCGGTTTAGGGTGCTACGGGGTTTTGTATGTGTTTGTATTTTTGGGGGGGTTTGGGGCTTCGGGTTTAGTGCTTGACAAGGTCTAGCGTTTGGGGTTCGGGATTTTGGATTCAGGGTTTCATGTGGATCTGCTGCTATATTCGCTGTTCCTGGTCCTTGGTGCTTTCATGTCTTTGACGAATCATTACTGTGATTGTTACTCTCACTTGACATTCGGCATGTTCTTGAAACAAAGCACTTGCTGATTCTGATAATGCCCAGTTTGCAACCTGTGTCGCACCAACGCTCTCGAGCTTGCAAGCATTACCTGCAGTCAGCATATCTAAAAGTCATAATAGTAAGAACAGTAATCATAGCAGTACTACTACTAATAGTAGTAATACTAATGATAATCGTAGTTTTTTTATTGTACCAATAAACGCTGGTGGGTCTCAATGACGTGTCTACGCTTCACCAGAAGAATGTTATACATGTTAGGACAGTGCTGATGCCGGGAATTCCCAGAAGCAACGAACCCTCAGATTCCAGACCCTTGGTGCAATGCCAAATTACTGTAGAGTTCCTGCGGCACATGCAGACACCTGACTGCTTTGTGAGGAATATTGCCTAGCTGACATCCTTATTACCTATCAACATGTTGCAGCCGCAAACCCTCTTCTACTTGCTGGCGGCCCCTTCATACAAGTTATCATCCCAGCTTCCGATACATGTTCCATTCACATTTCTATGTGATTCTCCACTGTTCTATCCTTAAACCCGCTACATTTGTGTCCCATATGTATTTATTAGTCTCTTTCTGTGTTTACCGCCCCCCTCCCCCCCCCCGTTCATCTTTATACGACCTCTGTATGATCCCTAAAATCGCCTTGAAAGGAACCCCTTTCCCAATCGAGGTAATGCCCATCAAGCTGCGATCATCCCGCCCAGCTCCTCTTCTGCACTGACATGGAAGCCCCCAATAGACTTCCCAGAGATGGTGTAGGGTAAAACCCTCAACCCTAAGCTCGGGTGTAGGTTCGACGACCTGTGCCTTCCACTGTAGTTGCTGTTGGTGTGTGGCAAGATTTGCTGGGCGGGATGCTTGTGAGGACTTTTGTGGCGCTACATCTCAAGGTCAGGGAATATGACAGGTTTCTATGAACTGGTACAGTACGGAGCTGCAAACTAGGATTTCCAGAATACGCAGGCCCCCACATTGCATTCTCCGGCTTTGGGAACAACACTCTAGCGGCACTCCCTCATAATCAGCATCTTCTCTAGATGGAACCCAGAGATCATATAATGTCCTATTCATTTCCCGCATGCTCTGATCTGGTAGTGAGGGTGACTACAGCGACTTTAACCTGAGTGCTGGCGGCAGTGGCACGTAGGGAATCTTGCCCAGGTGACACGGAAGCCTAGTCGCATAGGCTATACCATAATCCTTGGTATCCCTGGGTTCTGATCGTGAACGCTTTGCACACAATTTGCTACAAGAATGTCAAGAAGGTTGTTTGATTGAAGGTGTCTGAACATGTGTACAGCACTATATCTCCATGCTTCTTGCATCCAAAGTTTTCCAAGCAATAGTAAGGATCATTAAGAGGTTTACACTATGTGCTGCGAAATGTACCACCCAACTTCTGATGCCTTCTGCCGGACTGCAACAGACAGACCATCCTAAGAATCGGAGAATCTCTAGGGAGTACAAGGGGTGTTTGTGCTGCGGAGGAACCTACTAGGAATTCTTGTGAGTATTCTTTATTAGTGGCTCTCAGGGTAGGTGGGTGGGGAGGACCCGTGAACCTCAAGAGTCGCATGAATCGTGCCTCGGCAAGGAGTCACACTGGGTGAAGCGCGGGGTAGCGATGCTGACGCAGCTGGATGCATGAGGGCATTGGTGCAGGATGTCACCCTCTGACCAATGTGAAAAACCACCCGAAAAATCACTGGAGGGCCGGTGACTTCTGACACACATGAGCTTATTTCTCCAAATCCAGCTCTGGTTTAGTGTAAAAATTGGGGGGGCCGTGATCGACGTGGATGGTTCTCACAAGTTGCGACTGAAAGGCAGACAGACCCTAACAAGTTTGCATTTTAGCTTGTGTCTTTTCCACTCTGCTCCGCTGCAGTCCACTCCCTGTGGTACACATTGTCAGTGGCACTCCGTAGCACTATATGACCTCACAACCCGAAACTCTGCTCCAAACCAAGCACCCCACACCCGTAAATCCAAACCATCTATGGATGGCAGCTTTCTTGCCGTTTATACAACTATAGTATATAACCCCAATATACTCCAGTTCATTGTCCATTTTCTTTTCCATTTGATTCTCCATTATAGTAGTTTCCATTTTATTTTCCATTATCCCACTACAATGGGTACAGGCTCATGCATTCGAGCTCGCCATGATTGTACAGGTCGGTGGCTCTGAGTTGCAGCAGGTGACGAAACCATTCAACATACTTCTTGGTAGCATCTACCTGGTGCCTCATTATCCTTGACGCCTATGAGAACAAATCCAGAAGCTACCTCGTGATCGTGATGAATGAACTCGAAGCAACAGTCCGGAACCAACATGTTTAACTGGGCTTAGCTACTTAAACATGTTCATGTTTTAACCGGGCTTATGCAGCATGACTCAGTAAGGGTCCATACAACCCCGAAGGGTCATTTTGGGGTTTAAGGTAAGTAGGGTATAAGGGAATATGATCCATCTATAATCCCTTTATACAACTATAGTATATAACCCCAATATACTCCATTTCATTTTCCATGTTCTTTTCCATTTGATTCTCCATTATAGTAGTTTCCATTTTATTTTCCATTATCCCACTACAATGGGTTCAGGGTTCCCATGAAGCTGCAGCTCATTGGGCCGCCTCACCAAGCAAGCAGTCCAAATAGCAGCCCACATCTGTTCCTTCCCAGGGCTTGCGCTACATTCGGTAGCTACTAGTTGGGCAGTACAGTCTGAAATCAAGAACCCTGAGCACCTGCCGTGAAGGTCACAAGTAAAGTATGTAGTAAGATACAGACTCCAAGATGTGAGCAACTTTATCTTGAGAGCCCCCCTGGAAATATGATATGGACAAACGTGGATCCTTCTCCATGTGAGGCCTCCACCCCAAACCTCCCATGAAAGAAGGATCCCTGTCGGAAGAAATCTGGACAAGACGCAATAAAGTCAAGAAAAGCTTTCTGCAACCGCGTGGTGCAGACTTGCCTTTGTACAGTAGAGTATGCTTTCATCACAGCTCCATTCTGCACCTCTTGTGGCTCCCCTGACAGGAGGGGGCAAATTCCAGCAGAAGACGCGCATATCAAGCATGTTTCAGCCCTAGACGGAGAGCCCTGGTCCTCAGAAACACTGAACCCTGAACCCTAAACCCTATCAACCCTATAAACCCTAAACCCTTTAGACCTAAAAACCCTGAACCCTAAACCCTAAACCCAAAACCCTATAAACCCTAAGCCAAGCCCCAGAAGGGAGCTTCCCAAGCTTAGCCCGCTCCCTGCAAGCTGCGGAGGGCACGTCCTCATGCAAAGCATCAGGGCCTCCAGACATTTTGGGCACTTGAATGGGTTTAGGGTCTATATTGTTTAGGGTTTAGGGTTTCCCAAAATTAGGGGTACCCTTCTAGGGGTCCCCATAATAAGGATTATAGCATTTTAGGGTCTACATTGGGGACTCCCCATTTAGGGAAACTACCAAATAGTGGTTTCCATGTTGTTTTTCATCATCCCAATATAGCCCCAATATAACACCTATAGAATCCCTATCTAACCCTTATATAATCCCTAGTAGTTTCCATTTTATTTCCATTATTCCAATATAACCCCAATATAATCCCAATATTACCCTAGTATTACCACAATATTGCCCCAATATTACCACCAGTGTGTGGGTTAATGTAAAGCTAGGGCACAGGAGCACATTGGCTTGAACATAGAAGTTACGTGGTGATACACAGAAATAGCGCACGGGGCTTGTCGTTTCCTTTTATTGGTTGAATGTGGGAGTTGTTAGGGATTGATGACCTGCTGAATCAATAGGATGCTCAGTGTTCCGAAGTAGTCATAACCATTTGGACGCTCGCGTCCTTAGCAGTCTTCGTGCCTGTCTCAAGACCTGTTTCGGATGTGCTGCTGTGGTGTCTGTGGTTTATGGGGTTAGCTGGCTACGAGGTGCAATGAAAAGTGAGTGACAAGCTAGGGGCACAACACTTTCCTAGGTCATGTCTCGCACCAGAGCCCGAAATGCAAGCGAGGATGCCCGACGTGCGCAGTTCACAAGAAATACAACAATGATGAGTCTTATCACATCCATGCTGACTGCAGGTTTAGGGCAAACTAGGCTCTTGAAGGCAAAGTAGGGTACTTATAGTCCCCCTATACACCCACAATTCAAAAGCTGCTCCAACTTCTCAGGCTCTCTTGGCTGTTCTTTTGGAACCGAGAGCTTAGAACTTCATGGCACTAGGGAGGGGGGGGTGTTTTGAACTTTATGTTACTTTGAGTTCCATGTACTAATCAGCACAATCAGCAGCTAGCCTGTTGCAAGCTAGTCATGACCCTGTTTTTGGTGTCCCAGCCACCTGTCCTGCACCTGAGGCCTTGAGGGTATTAGGGACCTTTTGGCAAGCTTGGGCCCTACACCCTAGTAGTTTCCATGTGCTTTCCATGATTCCCGTATAACCCCTATAACCCTATAAAACCCCTAAACCCCAAACCAAACAAACAATGAAATCTAAACCCTATGGGGAGTGAGGGTTTCGAGGCCTTTGGGGTTCTGGGGAGCTTAGGGGCAGATTCTGGGGAGACGTGGCGCAGAGATTGAGTTTTTTTTTGCTGGAGTTGCTTGTCCCATTAAATTCAGGTCCCTTGAAAAGAGGTGGGGTATATGGGTCAGGCTCAGAAGGCTGGACGCCCCGCCCCAAAACCGCAAACTTGCCAAACCCGGCAGGAAGATACGCTTATAAACTCAATCAAGCAACTTTCAGGTTCGTGTGTCCCAGCCCCACAGTACCATAGGCTGTCTGTGGCGATTTTTTCGGCTCAGCTGCCAAGCGCGGAGGGGGCGAGCGGTTGGGTATGGCGCCGAAGAAGAGGCGTGCAGCGTTGATATTCTCTCCCACAAAGCTGAGTTGCGGTTAAGAATCTTAAATGAAGTTACTATAATAAGGAAACCTTATTATCTACGATACGCTCATAAAATGGTGACTTAAGTTACCTTCCTTAACAGCAACCCCACAAGAGTGGCGCCCCATATGAAGGGCCATCTTCAAACAACAAATATCTACAGTTTCTACCTTCGTTTCCAAGTTGATCTGTTGCTGAAGTCGGGGCCCCATACCTGCAAACTCAACTCACCAGTGAAAAGTAGGGAATAGAGGAAGAATCCAATCCATATAATATAAGTCATCCTTAGATTCTTTTCCTTGATTCCCTTTAAGCGCCCGTAAGCACAGGTAGAAGTATGAGGCTCCTTTCAGACTCAACGTAATGGATGAACCAAGGAGTAGAGATGTGAGTTGGGTACCCTCGACCAGTAACAGCCTATGATATGGGCAACATTGCACAAAGGCTTTATAGCATTGCAGTATATCTCTTATCCAACTACTGCTGAGTGGGGGCAGTATCCAAGGGATGGGAGATTCTCAAACCCTAAACCCTAAACCCTAAACCCTAAACCATAGAAAATCTGCAACACAATTGATCCTTGGTTTTCTTGCATGGTCTCCTCGGATGGGTACCCCCTCTATCTCGAAGGTGATTATATAGGGGACTACTATAGGGGTTATTCAGGGGGATACTAGAGGTTTAGCCTATAACTCATATGGGAGCCCTTTTCATAGTGATCCCAACATGCTCCGTAAGGGAAACCCAACACAGTTCCTTTGCAGTCCCTTTAGCCCAGGGCCCCCATTCTAAGAAAGCCCCTCGGTCGTTCCATGCTCTGTGGGGGGGGGACTTCTCCACAGGAGCCCGACATAGAACCTTCAACCAAATTCTATATTTGCAGCATGCACGAAATTCCTAAGCCTCCGAGTGTATGTTCTAAGATAAGTTCGCAGCCCTAAAAAAGATGTTTGTATCTTTGGGCTTTCCAGACTGACCCGAATCCGAGCTGGGCCGGATACGGAAGTTCCCTTAATTTGCAAGCTGTACATGAAATCAACTTAATACCTCCCGTAAACGCAACAAAGCCCTAAGACCCGAAGAGCATAGATTTGATATGGTAGCCTTCTAGCTAGAAAAATACCGTTGAAAGGACCTTGTGATGACCCTGTACTTTCCTTAAAAAAAAAACCTGGCAATGACCCAAGGCCTTAGATTCTAAAACCTAAGCCCCCAGCCTAAACCCTCCCTTAGAGATCTCTTACCTGTCCAGTGGATAACCTTTAACATGCAGGTAACCTTTCTTCGGTAACATGGGAGATTCCCCAAATTCTGGGTACCCTTTTGGGGGTCATAAAATCAAGGACATATTTCTGGGTGTATAATCGGGTTCCCCATGTACGGAAACTACCATATACACAACCGAATATAAACAAAAAAAAGGGTTTGCTTTGGGTAAACCCTAGAAATTGGTCAACGAAGATCTTCTAAGCCCTACACCTGAAGCTCTAAACTCCCAACCCTTAACTCTAAACCTTAAACCCTTAACCCTAAAACTTAAACCCTTAACCCTAAACCTCAAACACTCAACCCTTAACCCTTAACCTTAAACCCTCAAACCTTAACCCTGAAGCTTAAACCCTTGCCCTGAGCGCTCAGCCTAAGAGATCTTGAGATCGCAGGAAGTCCCAAGCGCAGAGCCAAGCCGACGTGCGGGCGGTACGGGCTGTTCCGGGGCTGCATACCTTAATGGAAAAGAAAATGGAACTA